ACTGGTGAACTTTGCGTCAATGTCGGACAGTGTTTCCGCAATGAAAACGCAAAAAACTACGAAGGGTTCTACCTTTGATGAGCTAGACACGGCATTGACAGAGTGGTTAGCTCAAGTTCGAAAAGAGGGGTACTCCTGTAAATGATCCTATCATTGCGGCAAACGCAAAAACCTTTTTTGAGTTGTTAGGCCTGAAAGGAACTTTTGATGCGTCTTCTGGCTCGTTGACTCTTTTTAAGCAGTGACATCGAATTCGAGAAATTGTACTTCGTGGGGAGAAACTTAGTGGTGACCAACAAGGAGCCGACGATTTCCACCATGAATTTGAAGAATTTGTTTTAAAAGAAGAGCTATCTTTTCAACAAATTTACAATGCGGACGAATCGGGACTTTTGTGGAAATGTCTTCCCACTCGCACTTTAGCATTTGAAAGTGAAAGTGAAGCGGCGGCTCATAAAAGCAGCAAGGAAAAGATCACTATCATGTCTTGCAGTAACGCAAGTGGTGGACATAAACCTACACTTGTTGTCATTAGAAAGTAAAAAAAAAAAAAAAAAAACGAGATCTTTCAAAGGCACAAGGATAGAAAATTTCCCCGTTGATTACTTTAACCAAAAAAAACAAGGATGGATGAACTGAAACATTTTTCAACAATGGTTCGAAAAAATCATTGTTCTTCAAGTGCGTAAACATCTTAAATTGAAAAAGCTGTGCTATTGATCGAAAACACATCTTCTCACCCAGCAACAAGCGTGCTAAAGTTTTTTGATGGACAAATGTTTGCAAAGTTTCTCCCTCCAAACGTTACTGCGATAATCCACCCATGGACCAAGGAGTCATTGCAAGAATGAAGAGAACATACCAAATCAAACTGCTAATGACCAAACTTTAAGAAGGTTATGATCTGTAAGAGTTTTGGAAACACTACACAATCTTGGCAGCATCTACGATATTGCATATGCATGGGACTCGGTGAAACCGTCAACCTTCATAAAATCATAGAGAAAACTCATGCCTAATGTTGAAGCCAACAACAACCTAACCCCTTTGAGTTGTGAAGAAGAGAATGAAGTTGTAGACAGACCCAAGGCTACACCTGCCGATATGGTGAAAACAGTTCCGGGTGGTGAGAATGTCGATGCTGAAAACGTTCAACGAGGTGGTTGGAGTGTGACGTCAACGAACCCGGCTTCGAACGCTTGACGGATGACGAAATTGTGAAGAAAGCAAGAGGAGAGACCGAGAATTGAAAGACAGCAAAGTGAAGGCGAAGAAGAGCCCACTGTGCAGATGCAGAAGACTCACAAAGCGGCTTTGCAATAAGTCGCAGGACTGCGGAGCTATTTGGAAGAACAAGACGATGCGGAGTTAGCCGAGAAACTTATGCTATGAAAAATGCAATCTCGGATCAAGTGAAAATGCTTCCAAAACAAGAAGCAAACACAAATGACTGATTGCTTCAAAAAGGTGTAGTTTTACAGTTATGCTTTTGTAATTACAAGGCGTATTCGGAAACTAAGTACCATTTTGAAAAAAAAAAATAGTAAAACAATTTTGCCGAATCCAATTTTATTTTCACCTGAAAATACATGTCTTAAACTATTTTTCAACATAGTTTCCGCCAATGATCAAACATTTGTCATAGCGGGTGACAAGTTTTTGTATACCATCATCAAAGAAACTTCCCGCCAGTTTCGATAACCACGACTCCACAGCATTTTTCGTGTCATCGTCAGATCCAAAGCGCTTGCCACCAAGCTCACGCTTCATGTGCAGGAACAAGTGATAGTCGGACGGTGCCAAGTCCGGGCTGTACGGCGGGTGATCGAACTGCTCCCAATGAAACTGTCGAATTAACGATTGAGTGACAACATCAGTTATGGGGCCGAGCATTGTCATGGAGCAACACAATCCTTTACTGAGCATTCCTCTTCGTTTGTTTTTTTGAATGGCACGCCTTAGTTTTTTGTTAAAGTCTCACAATATCGTGCCCATTAATGTTTCACCTCTGGAAGAATTCAGTAAGCAAAACGCCTTTTCTACCCAGAAGACAGTGCACTGATTTTTTGTGATGACATTGTCACTTGAACTTTTGTTTTTTTCGGAGAATGATTGTGTCTCCACTCCATCGATGTTGTTTCGATTCTGGTGTGAAATGACCACCCAAGTTTCATCACTTGTCAAATTTAGTTTAAAAAGTTTACTCCTCATCACTGTACCGCGTGAGAAATGTCAGGGCACTACCAGTCGCTTTGTTTTGTGAACATCAGTGAGCATTTTTGGAACCTCGAGAACACAGTTGTCGATAATTCAAGGGTCAGACACAATTCGAACAAACAGTACGTGAAATTTGTGGAAATGCCCTGAAAGAGTGTCCATTGTGAAGCGTCTGTTCTCATGAAGTGCTTCATCACTTTCCTTACCAATCATCGGTGACAACAGAGGCCGACCACCCGAGGCTCGGCGTAGACATTTGTTCGACCTGCATTAACATCTTTACCCACTTTCTCTCCCATTCCATCACTATCGCGTATTCCCGTAAACTTCTGTGTCACTTGATGATAAATTTCGGCCAGTTTTAAACATTCCTCGCGTTCAAAAATTTATCACGGCACGAATCTCACAGTAGCGGGAGAACTAATTGTCTTAAACTTTAGAATGGCGCAGCAAACTGAAACCAACATAGAGCAACCAAAATGGCGACATTGAAAGTCAGTGAAACAAGAAGACGTGCGCATGAGCGGGACGCCTACCACAGTGCTGCGACGGCGCTAGAATGAAACGGTACTTAGTTTCCAAATACGCTATGCTATGTACATAATACATTACAGTATTAAAACAGTTTATATGTATTAATTTTTCTGTGTATCCTTGAAGCCTCTCATAAGTACAAAGCACTTTTCTGTTTTCATTAAGAAAATGCATTTTGGGTTAGTTTTGAGTGATATACTAAAATATTAAGCGTTAGTTAAACATTTCCTGCTGTTTATTTTATGTTTCATTGTACATAAAACGATTTTTCAAAGTTGGAATGACTGTTTTCCTCTTTTGCTATACCCATTTTTTCTTTTTTTTTTTTTTTTTTTTTTTTTCGGATTATCCGCGATTTTTGTTATCCGCGGCGGCCGCGCCATCCAATTCCGCAGATAATCGGGAGTGTACTGTAAGTAAAATATTAAAAAGCAGTGAACATATTTGTAAATAAACAATGCCAAAATCTCCTCAAGCATAAATAATATAAGAACACAGGATGAGAGCAAAAATGCCACACATACAATTATATGGTGGGTATACGAAACACAGCTGGTGCTAATACACTGCTGGCCATTAAAATTGCAACTTCTGGAAGGAATGATCTGACGAACATCAAAATCACATGGAAGGAAGAAGAGGTTGGGATATGCAAATGATTAGTATTTCTGTGCATTTAGACGACGCAGGAGGGAGAAACAACATGTGAAGCACTGCATAAAAGAAAAGTTGTGTAGTGGATTTGTCATTCCGAAAGTGCTTTATAAGGTTGGAATTTGCTCAGAATATCATGTTATGCCTCGAATAAGAAGGGGAAATGCTTACCAGCAAGTTTAGGAATTTTATAGAGGCAGGATCATTGCCTATCATCAGTATAGATTATCGTTCCGTGATATCGCCTGTCACACTGGTCGACATCCAACCACTGTCATGCGAATATGGAGTCAATGGATTGCTGAGGGTCATACTGAACGGCATGCAGGATCTTGACGCTTGAGAGGACAGACATATTGTGAGGCCAGCCCTGCAAAACCATACAGCTACATCAGAGACCATTAGTCAAGAAATGTGCATGTTCGCAGCACACCCAGTATCAGCTCGTGAGGTGCGGTCATCGTTTGCAGAAGCGTGCACTATCAGCATGGCGACCATTACTTTGGCTTCCTTTGACAAAGCAGCATAGAAACAGACTGCAACCATGGTGCGTCAAACGACAAAGCTGGATACAGGAGTGGCACAATGTCATATTTTCTGGCTTTATGGGCAGTATTCTGATTGAGCTGGGCATCCATCTTGGCCTGAAGGTTATGTTTTTGTTTTATAGCAGTCTTCAGTTGATCTTCCTGCAGTTGCCAAGTACGTGTCATTTTTTTGGTAGGTGGTGGACCGAAATGCCTTGCTGCTGCTCTGTTTCCATGCACTTTGGTGTAGTTTAACACTGCTAGTTTATACTGAATTGTATAGCTTAATCTCTTGTATCCTGTAGTCATATTTTCCAGGGTATGTTTTTAAAACAAATAGTTTTAAGCACTGATACCTACACGTTTATACAGAGTAGCACCAATACCGACACATGTGTCGGCTGAGTCAAAGAAAGTCTATGTAAAGAAGGAAAGGCTCCATGGATGTAATGTGACCGTCAAACCTGTTCGAACTTCGACATCAACTTCGAGCTTTGGTGCTTTTTGGCTACAGATATTTCACGCATGTGCAAAATAATTATGGCAGATGTAGAAAAAGTTATTTGTGTCTAGATCTTTATCCGGGCTAAAAAATAGCATTCAGTATTGAAAGCTAACCTGTGTCCTTCAGGTATAAGATTCAGGTAACTTTTTTGAGACCAAATTTAGGAAAAAAAAGTGTGTCTTATATGCCGTCAAATACGATATATGATACATGTGTAGGAGCTACAGAATGTAGTTAAGCAACCTTGAGGCATCATCATTATTGGTGAAGTTACTGGAGGTGCTTATTTTGATTTTTACTGGCTAATTATTAATGGTTGTCCTGGCAGTCTGCAATTTGCTCATATGTGAATAGGACAATTTCCAAGTACTGGTTTTCAACAATGATAAAATCTACTCTTGTGAATACTATTGTAGGGACTTTGATAATGTTGGGAATTTGGGAGCCGAAATGATTGTATAAAGTGCAAGACTACTTTATTGTACTTATTGTATTTTATTGTATACTAATCAGTATGTTTTAAGTACATTTCGCTTTCTGATTTTTATGTGTTTTTCTTCTAGATTATGGAGAGAAGGAGAATTCAGATATAGCTGAACGTTTTGATGTTCCAAAAGATGATTTTCCCGTGATTAAACTTTTTGTGCAAGGTGAAAGTGAACCTGTTACATATACTGGAAGTTTTAAAGCAGATGAAATCAAAAATTTTATAAAACAGCATTCCAGTAAGGAAATTAATTTTTTATATGTATTTTACAAATTTTAATGTTTGGTGAGGGATGTTTTAAAATGTTTAAATAATATGAAAACTTTGGGACAAATATAGTCTCTCATTATCTTCCTCATTATTATGACCTTGAAAAAAATCAAGTTATATTGCATAACTTTAAACTTGTATTGGGAATTTACAATTGGAATAAATTTCAAACAGTACTTTTTTAAAAAGAAAAATAGCCTTTTCCAACAATTTTTTTATAACATAATTTGTGCAGAAAATTCCATACTGCTTTGCAACTTAAATGCAAGGCTTTAAGTGACCTTGGCTCTGTGATTATTTATCAAAAATAAAAAGGTTCTCATTTTAAAATATCGTAATATTAGAGTGATATGTATCTGAAATTATATATATTAAGAAAAACTCGGATCAAAGTTAAAAAATTTATTCAAAAATAGCAAAATATTATCAGTTATGGAAGTTTAAGTGAAATATCTAATTTTCTCAAGTACATGTTTGAATAGAACTAATGGTTGACGGAATTAGACATCTTAAAAAATTAATAAGTAACCATCCAGAATTTATGTAATAATTTTTTGTAAATGTGCTTTTTATTATGAGTTATGAGAATATTACCATTTTGTGTGTTGCTGCAATTGATCCTGAGTCAGAAATGCCTATTTTTAATTTAAGATTCTGTTTAATAGAAAGTATTATTTATCCTATTGCCGAATGTTGTATGTTCAGGAAAATGAGAAGTTATTGCACATGTTGCTAAGACCCTATTCTCTTTATTTTGCATCTTTCTAAAGGTTGCTTTACATGTATGTATATATGAGTTGCTATACATACACACATATATGCAGTCAAAAGTCTTTAATCTGGACTCGTTGGGACTTTGGTGATTCCGGATTATCAGTTTTTTCGGATTATAGATCATCAGTTTAAATCTGGTAAGATGGCATGCAGAAATTATAAAATTAAAAGTATGAAACCATAATTTATGAAATAAACAGCAATTATGATCTAAAAGGTATCAAAATTTACAACAAAAAAAAAGCTTAATATTTATTTATTTACTTTATTAAACATTTCTTTCAAGATGTGCATGCATAAAGCATACATTACACATTGTCGAAATTAGAAAATTGTAACCAGAAAACTATTTGATGTGTATTCGTGATATTTATAATGACAAGGAAATTGATTTAAATCATATCGGAGTACATCGAGATGAAACACTACATTTAGTAAGGAATTATAAGCCGAATAAAATAAAAACATCTGCCTTCAAGATAAGGATAGTGCTGACAGATCAACTTCCAATTCGTTGCGCGCCGCAACGTTCCCCCATCTCCCCCGCAGAGCAGCTTGAAATTGATAAACAGATATCAGAATGGTTTGAAATACAAAGGATATGCCTTTATCCATTTTTTGCAGCAATTCCGCATTTTGTTTGATGGACATCGAAACATGCTTTCGCTTTGTAGATCCTTTGGTAGCTCCATAATCGGAAATTCTGTTTGACTTAATCGAAAAGTTCAAGCTTACTTTTATAAAATTGCTCTAACAGTCTGCAAAAAATAATAAGCTGGATCCAATTAGAAGATTAAGGTTCCAATTAGAAGATTTTTTCCAATCCAATTAGAAAATAAAGATTTTTTATGCCTAGACAAAACATAAATCCAATTATATTTTAGTAGTATGATATCCCTTTAATCTGGCTCTTATCTAAGGATAAAAATTAACTTTTTCCATTGTTTATTGAAATATTTTGAATGTTTTCTGTATTGGAACATGAGATATGTAGCAACAAAGCCATAGGAATGTTTGGGGTGTTAAATGTATCATTAATTAAATTTAGCTCATAAGCAAGTAAGTCTGTGAGTGAATTTATAAAGCTAGTGGGATTTACATTGGTTTATTAGTTTCCTTAGATAAAAAAGACAAAAATTTGTTATTAGCAAGCGAGAAATTGTTACTGTTATTAGCACTTCTAGCAATTGTTCCAGGAGCTGCAAATATTCTCATGTATTTCTCAGTACGCAAAATACATAGCGAGCCAAGCCCCCTCTAGAAGTTGGTAGTAGGAGAGGAGGGGTGAGGGACTCTCGGCCATCATTTTGGGTGTACTTCTTCAAAATTTCAGCAGATATGAGTAATTAAAACACAATAACACGCCGAACAAATACTAGTTCAGAAGCCAAACGACAAAAATCAGCGTTATATTTACAAAATTTCCACAGGACTAGTTTCGATGGTTTTACCGAATCACCATCCTCGGCTGCAAAACCGCAAATGAACAAGATAGGAATAGCTTCTGAATCAGATATGAGTAGTTAGTGCACAGGATTTTTCTTGTGTGACATGGGGTGAAATTCTAATGTTCTGCCCACTTCTATCCACATTCTCTAAAAAAATGTATTGGACATTAACATTTTATATGAAAAATAGCTTTGCTGTATAGCCTATTAACATATATCAGAAAAAGAGGAATTTTTTAATTATTTTTTTGAAAGAAAAGCAATAGAATTGCTGTTTGTAATTAAAAGTATTTTACACTTTATTAAACTATTTTCTCAATTTATGTTTAAGTAAAAGACTTCTCTATTAAAACTTCCATATGTTTGCTTAAATAAATATTTGAAAATGATTTAAGTATTTTCATGCCAGTACTAAAGAAGTCACAGATTTCTTTATGAAGTAGTCTACTATTATTAATAGATGTCTCAAAAATTGATACAAGAACTGAATGCTGATTTTTTAATATTCTGTATAACATTTTATAATTGTATATCCAGCGTTAAAACTAATTAAAAATAAAAAATAAACTAATTAAACCTAAAAATACAACTAATTTTTTTTTTTAAATTCTACATACAGAATTATAAAATTGAAGTATTTTATAACTTAGTATCTATAATTAATTTTTTTGTTGCAACTATTCTAAAATAGCAATAGTTATAAACTATAATATTAAATACTAATGTGAATGGTTTCTTGAGATCATTGCTGTTTATCATAATCTAGATATATGCTTTTAATTTTGGTTTCTTGTATTTGGGTTAATGGGTATTTGTCATATTTGCAAGTTTTCTGCATCAAATTATCTAACTTCAGCAACTTTTCGTAGCAGCCACAGATAGAAATTTCAAGCAATTTATGCAGTAACTTGCTACGTATATTAAGATTTGTTTGCTTAGCCGTTAGCATATTTAAATCCATATCGAATAAATAATAAATAAATTTAAATATTGTCATATAAAGTCAAAGATGCTAAATTTGTTACATATGCTTATTCGTCAATCAAACATTCAAGTCTTTTTCCAGTCTGTTCAAATGTAGTGTTGATGCAGTTTTCATTCAGTATGTGTCACTCAATGTTTTCATTCAGTATCTAAAATGTCCACTCCAGGCACATGAAATGTATTACGACATCTAATGATATAAATCAAATGAAGGTTTCAAACAATTTGTTTGAAATTTACGTGTCAATCCATTTTTATATGTAGAAGCACCTTTTCTTATAATAATATTTTTGTGAAAATGTTTTCAACAAATTATTCTTTTTTTATTTACACTGCCCTCCAAAATTCAAGGAACAACATGTTTTTTGTGCTAATTTGAGAATGAAGCAACATAGAAACAAGCAATTTATAGGACATGTTCACTAAAGACTTCTTTAATGAATGTGACGTAGAATGTTTCTAAAGTTCAACACAAACATGAATTACAACAGAAAATTGCACTCTTGGCAGAGAAATCCAGCCTTGGAGAAACAGTATATCACATTTTTTTGAGGAAAAATATGGTATCCACCCCTAACTGCAATACATTTGTGGCAGTGACATTCTATGCTGTCTGTTAAGTTGTCAGTCATTGAATTGAGAAGCAACGGCCAGACATGGAGTAATCCTTGTTCAAGCTTATCTAACAACCTTGGAGGAGTACTTAAAGCAGGAGCCTGTCTCCAGAACCAATAGCAGCAGCATATGGGCGGACATATTGATTAAGGATCTCATCTCAATATCTCACGCCAGGCAAAGTTCCTCCATGGAACACATGCAGATGAATGTGACCACCGAGAGATCCCAGCCCAAACCATTATTCCACCACTGCTGTAACTGTGTCTTTCCACATGTGGGATTGGTTGTATTGTGTTGTTCCTTCCAGGTCAGCTGAGGACCTGAATCACTCTCCAGTGTGAGCCTGGACTCGTCTGTGAAGAGAACAGATGCCCATTGTTCACTGGTCCAGGAGATGTGTTCTCTTGCCCAACATAAACGGCACCTTTATGTCCTCGGGTCAAGCGAACACAAACAACTGGTCGTCTTGCATACAGACCTGTATTGTGCAGGCATATGCACACTGTAGTAGCTGAGATTCTTGTTCCTGTTGCCACTAAATGAACTGTCATGAGCTGAGGCACAGTATGTTCCTCCTCCTTCGGGCTGAAAGAGCTAAATAACAGTCTTCCGCAGGTGTTGTAACTCTAGGTCTGCCTGGAACATGTCTTATAGATACAGAATCCACAGATTCAAACTGATTCCATAGTCGGTGACACACACTACGAGAGACATTAAAACTTCTTACCACCTCAACGAATTGGGCAAACAACAGCTCCTGAACATTGATAAACTATCTTGGATATTGTCAACGAAATTGCTAATAATAATTGAAGGTTAATACTTGTAAACAAAACTTAACAGTTTTTACCTTTTTTCTCAAACTCCTATATAAGTATTCCTTTTTATAAAATAAAAGTTGTAGCTATTGTTTTTGCACATATTTTCTTAAACTTCGTTACTATCATGCATATAAACTGTGAATTTAAATGTTACTGACATTTTTGTAATGGTGAGCCTTCAAAACCATGCTGTTCCTTAATTTTTTTAGGGTAGTGTAAAAAAAATTCACTCATTCTTTTTATTTAATTTTTTAAATTTTCTTATCCATTTAGCAACCTTCACTTGCAGCTGGTAAAGCTGTAGCCAACCAACAGCCCGCCAT